AGAACACGATAACAAAAATTTAAACCGAGCTGAACACGAACACACTGTTCATGAGCCGATTTCGAATACGAGCCGATTTTAACGAGCCGAACACGAGCCAAAGAGGGAGCCAAACCCGAGCCAAGCCTGAGCTCGCTCAAGCTCGGCTCGTTTACAACCCTATTTAAAAACATTTATTTCTCTCTCTTTGTTTATGCTCTATTTTTTTGGTGTGATTCAATATTACATATGGGTTCAACAATTATAAATTTTGTTAATTATTCATAAATTACATCATAAACAAAAATTTGAACATATAAAATTGTTGAACCCAAACTATTTTTATTTTGGCTATAATAGTATTTTTTTTTTATTTTGGTGCAATAATAATAATGAATTCAAGTCAAATTGTATGACTTGAATCAGTTGCTATTGAGTCGTTAATCCTTTTCTTTTATCATTAAAGTTGTGCTTGTAAAAGTGGGTGGCATGATAAAAAATAAAATTTAGCTATTACTTATGTAAATATATAAAAATTTGGCGGTATTAATGTTAATACCCCCAAAATTTGTTGGAGATAGTCTTAACAAATGTCTGAATAATGAGAAGACACATTAATACTGTAATTTTAAAAATATTTGTTGGAGATCTTGACGGAAATCTAACGGCCACTAAGCATAAGACGTGAAGACATCGTTAAGGATTCTCACAGAATCATAGTTTTAAAAAAAAAAAATTTAATTTTTCTAATGGCTACTACATGAATAAGACTAATTCAAAAGCCTCCCATCTTTCAAAAATTTTCGAAGCACACGGATGAACTCCTTCGGACCCAACGCAGAGTAGAGAGAGAGAAAGAGGTCTAATTTTTTAAAATAATTTTTTTTTAATTTGAAATATTTTCAATCTCATGTTATGTTTTACTTTTATAATACAATTTAAAAGAACTTAAGAAGTCACATCAATAAAATTTCATTATCCTATATATCTTTTTTTAAAAAAATATTACTAATAATTTCACATTAAAATTAAATTAGTTGCTCTTTTTAAGAAAAAAAAATATTTTGAAAAAAGTTAAATTAATCACTTGTTTTTTTAAAAAAAATATTTTGAAAAAAGTAAATTAATAGCTCGTTTTAAGAAAAAAAATATATTTTAAAAAAATTAAATTACTAGCTAATTGATGTTATTTCAATTTTCTTGCCGCCAATCTGAAGTTTAAAACTTCTTCCAATCTTCACTGATCCCCAGCGCAACCAGGGAACACAGGGAGAGAGACCTTGTGCGATTCCTATTTTGATTTCTTTTGAGGTTTCAAAACAATCGCTGCCATGAATAATCTGATGACAAGTTCATTGCTCGAGCTCCAGAAGCAGGCCATTAAAGAGCTAGAAGCGGCTCTTGGGGAGGAAGATGTGCTCGAAGTAGAAACTAGGAACCCGGAGGAGAATCTCCGTTCATTTCTGGAAGAGGCCTGGCTGGTGAAGGAAGAAATGGCCAAAATTCGTGAACTTCTGGCCCTTCTCGAGGCCGTCAATGACGAGAGTAGGTTGGCCGACAAACAAGATGTGAGCCGCCCCATGCACGACCGTATCAACAGCCAAATATCGGAGGCTGTCAATGCGGCCCGACGCATCCGCGAGCGCCTCCAAGACATGGATGCCAACGGCCGCGTTTCTGGCTGCCGCGAGGTTACAACAGTCGATCGGGCTCGTAGTTCGGTGACAAATGGACTCCGCAAGAAGCTCAAAGAGTTAATGATGAATTTCGAGGGATTGAGGCAGAGGATGGTCGCACACTATAGGAAAGAGGTGGGGCGCGGTTACTCTACTCTAAGGCAGGTGCCATCGCAAGATGTGGTGGATTCCGATGGAAACAGCCAGATGCAAACCTTGAGTGAGATCCAGCAAAGGCAAGATGCGGCTAAGGAAGTGGAAAAAAGTTTTCTTGAACTCCACCAGGTATTCTTGGACATGTCATTGCTAGTTGACGTGCAGGGTGAGATGATGGACAATATTGAGTACAATGTCTCAAGGGCCGCTGACTACATCAAGGGCGGGACCGAGGAGCTCAACTCTGCAAAGATTTACCAGAGAAACTGCAAATGGTTCTGAATCTCGATTCTTTCTTCTTGTCCTTGTGCTGCTCATTGTTATCATATTTGCTACCAGGCTTATCATAGCACTTTGTTCTACTTTTAATATATGATAGATGCTTTCTTCATGAACTATTTTGCTACATGGAATATTTGTGGACGTTATGTTTCTACCTAAAACAACACTGTTGTGGTTCTTTCGCGCATATTCTATCGTCTTAGCTATTGTGCATCTCCCTAAACAATGCTCTGTTTATCGTGTTTGTATGAAGTCAAGCGGGTTAAATCAATTTTTACATGTTTTCTAATTTTTGTCTTCTGATGGTGAAGGATAAATTTATAAATTTATGGCTCGAATTTATGACATAGAAATAACCTTCCAATCATTAGATCGCAGATTCTTTCATATATCCTGTTTTTTTGTTTCTACATATTTCAGTGTGTAATTGACTATATTGTTATCATATGTTTATACATCAATACAACCATCATACGTTTATTGATAAATTTTCTGTGTAGTTGTTATAGTGGCCCTTATATTGTGTACTTACTAGTGCTAGGGGATTATATACACCACACTTATTTCTTTCTTATTTATATATCTAGTTTTCTACTTACCCACCACACTATTCTTTCAAGTGTCATAATAAAAGTAAGGAGAATTTTCATAACATTTACTCGAACAAAGAATCTATTAAAATGTTGACAAGTCCTCATACTTCTTTCATGGTATGTCTCACATTATCATCTATTTCTCTGTTTTACACCAACTCAATTCAGGAAGGCAAGGGAAAATCAAAGCTAGGAATGCATGAAAAAATAAAACTACTTATTTCATTTATTTGGGAAAGGCAAAATAAATCTCAATCTTTAACTTGCATATAATGTCTCCCAACTTGAGGCTGCAAATTGTCAGAGGAAGACAATGAGATTGGGCAAAGAAGATTACAAGTTGGAGGTGGTTGAAATCTTTTGTTGGTTTCTATTGGTTTATAGGTTGAGGATTTTCATTGTTGAGTCTAATTTTATTAACTAAGTAAGATTTAATTTTGATTTTTCAAAATTCGCCATCACTAACTTTTTTTATTTACTCTTTATCTTTTAAGTTGATGGTTATCAAACTAAACCATTTTACCTATCATGTGTAAACATTATATAAAAAGATGGTGGTACTATTTTGAACTCCAAAAGAGAGAATGAGGTTACGAGTTGGAGGTGGTTGGGATCTTTTGTTGGTTTCTATTGGTGTTTAAGTTTAGGATGTTAATTGTTGAGCCTAATTTATTAAATATCTTAAAATTAATTTATAAAAAATTGGCCATTACTAACTTAAAAATTATTTACTCTTTAGTTTTCAAGTTGATAGCTATCAAGCTCAACCATCTTACTGATCATGTGTAAGCACTATATGAAAAAAATGTTTGTACTATTTTGAAGTGCAAATGAGAGAGAGGGAAATAGATAGGGAGGTGGTATTTGAGAAAGTTAGGAATATTTTTTTCAATGCTTGTAAGTAGAGTTCTTCAGTTCTCTAAGAAAGCAAAAGTGTTGTTATTTGTTATTCTATCAATAAAAAAAACTCAGTTATTTGAAGAAGTAGTTCTCATTTAGACTCCTGTCATAGAGAGTAGAAGAGTAATTATAAAAACAACAAAATATCATTCTCTCCACATTTTGCTCTCTTCTTGCCCTCTTCTTTGGAGAGAGTGGTTGAATTTTCACTTGGGCTTGATTGTAGCTTCAACATATATTTTGCATGGTCCTTCATCTACTATTTTTAAAGTTTAATGGGTCCTATGTTCTTTATGTGGTTGCGGATGTAGGCACATTCAAGTCGAATGACATAAATTTTTATGTTCACTTTTCTTGTGCATGATCTCTTTTAAAATGACTTTTGGGTTCATACATACTTACGCTTATGATAGAGGTATTATATTTCCTAACAACTTGTAGTTGTGCAAAGCTACAAACATATGATGGTCGTGAGTATAAAGTTTAATCGTTCATATAATTTTAGCCTTTGAAGAATCAAAATATGTGGATATACTTATCCAATAAAGATTTCACAATCATGGGGCATAGTAGGATGCTTGAAATTTTGAGTGAAGACCATAGAGGAAATAATCATAGAAGGTTTGCAACAAAAACTGTAGTTTTTGTGCATAATCAAGAGCCTATTCAAACTTTATAAAAATAAAGTTGTTGAATTGTTGATGATGAAGATCAAGCTTTATTACCATTAGGCTTTTTTGCTTCCCTCTTGTAAGTAGTATTATTTTGAAGAACAATGAGTGAGAAGCAAATGAGTTAATTTGGGGCTAAGGCTGAAGAGTCGAGTTGGGGTTGCCTTGAGCTTGGCTTGTTAGCTCGTCGAGCTCAGTTCACAAGCCGCTTATTGAGTCCGTTCACAAGCCGGCTTCTCTCACTTACACACCTAAATTTGCCCAACTTAGCATACCCTAACCTAAACCTAACCCAACCAAGCCCAACCTAACCGAACCAAACCTAGCCCAACCTAACCCAACCCAACCTTACCAAACCTTGCTCAATCTAATCCAACCTAACCCAATCTAACCTAACCTAACCCAACACAGCCCAACCTAACCCAACATAGCCCAATCTAATCACACATAGCCCAATCCAACCTAGTTCAACCTAACCCGACATAACCTAATCTAATTTAGCTCCTAATCCAACCCAAATTAAACCTAGTTGACCTTAGCTCAATCCAGCCCAACCCTAACCCAAGTCTCAAGCCTATCCTAATGCTCCATGTGTAAAATGTATAACCTGTATATGGTATGTTCCATTTGTAGTTTAATTAAATTCATGTTTCATGTGAAGTTCAGTTAAATTCATGTTTCATGTGTAGTTCAGTTCAATGCCTGCTCCATGTGTTGTTTTGTTCTAGGTATGTTTCATGTGTATTTTAGTTCAATGTATGTTTCATTTATAGTTCTTTTCATATGTCAAGCAACTAAAATAAAAGAAAAATGAATAAATGAAATGGAGGAGGAGAACCTCTCATATGTAGGTTCTTCTCATGATTATTTAGTAAAGTATGTTACTTACAAATCTGTTTAATTCCAAACCTTTTAAGTTTGATAGAAATAATAATATACAAGTTATTGGAGCATCCCAATATGTCCGTATTGAGCATCCCAATAGATCCATATCCAACTCCAAGTTGATAGAAATAGTAATATACATCAACTACAAGTTATTCGAGCATCCCAATAGATACATATCCAACTCCTTTAAATTGAAGAGCGAGTGAGGTAGCTTCTGCCCTATCCCTAAATAGTTGATAGAAATAGTAATATATGCCATGTGAGAAGAGTGTGCTTGATAAAGAGGCTAAAAAAAAAAGAACATAAAAGGATTTGAAGTTTCACTCAAATCTTAGCTAAACCAATTCTATTACAAACTACATACGAAAATGGGTACCAGTGATCTATTCTACAAATGGGAACCTGGAAGGGCTAATTATTATATTTTCTTCTACCCTGATGACATATGGGATACAACTTTTTTTATTACCATTCCTGAGAGAGTGTGAAAAAGGAGAGAAAAAGAGAATGAAGGTGAAGCAAAGCCGAACAAAACAGCCAATGAAGTCTAACACGAAAAAAGTGAAGCAATCGAGCAAAATAACTGACATAGTCAATCAAAGTAGACGAAGCTGAATATATTTCACGTAGATGACTCGATCAGAATGAAGTAGAGGGATGCAGATGAAGCTGGACATTGTAGATGAGTCAAACGATGAATGATGTCCTAATCCCGCCACAAGATGAAGGTGAATGAGGTGGAGTCGAATGAAGCAAAGGAAGTTGTGCATGTCTCTGATACTATGTGACAAGAAAATTGTCTTCTCATTCTTCAATTGAAAGCATATGTTGCATATTTATAAAACCTTCTATCTCTATAGATTAGGAATATTTCAAATATAGAAAAGACCTTGTAATTAGATCTTCTCCAGTTAGGTCATCTAATATCAAGCTTTCTCATATACAAGCTTTCCTAATATAACCTTTAGTTTTAATACTTTCCATAACATGCTGAAAATCACAACGTAATTAAAAGATCAAATTGTTTATGTTTTGATTAAATCCAATCACGCAAGCAAACCAATTAACTACTAAAACCATGAAAGACAACATAATGAAATTATTCAGGACAAAGGTAGTCCTCTGGCGATATAAGAAGATGGCTTTTCATAAAAAATGGTAGGCAGCACTTGTACCATGCTAAGAAGGTCAATATCTAACTAGCATTCAAGCACAAAGGAATATTAGAAAACTAGAATAAACCATTGTGGGAAAAATTAATTTTAGATTCCTTGGGTAGAACACTCTTTATGATTACCAACCCTAAAAAATATGAAATAAGTTAACAAAATGCATTCAAGATCAATTTTGAAAATTAGAATAACAATTTTATTTCACAAGACAAAGAGTTACAAGTGACACATTAAAATAATATGCGTAGAAGGGGCACCTAGCAAATGTTGTGGAAGACAATAAAGAAAGTATGGTAAGGTTCGTAGATGAATATACCATGAGCTAGAGAACCAAGCCAACCATATTACATAGGAAACTGAATTGAGACCTAGGGAAGGTCATGTTTGTTTATTTTAAGGAAGAAAATTGACTTTGATCAGTTGTTCAATTTATATTTATCAAGAATGTGGGCATAGTTGTTGCACTCTACATAAAGAAATTCATGAATTATTGCTTGTAGATATAATCATTCCACTTGATAAGGTACTTCTAATATCTAACATCAATAATAGATAAGAATTTATAACATGATTATGGCTTCATTAATACAATTAGCATAAAAGTTTAAGAATAATAAAAATGATGTTGGAAGTGATTTCCTGATAAGATATAAAGAGAAGAATCCAAAGTATTGGTTGTTCATGATAAAGAAAATAAATAAATTAAAAAATTGATCTATAAAAAATATCCTTGGAATTTCCAAATTTATAATCAATTCTCCTAATGCATTTTAGGA